TGTATGTGTGAGTGTGTGTGTCTGTTTGTATGTGTGGATACAGAGCTACTGACCACAACATTGGTCCGATTTTTACGAAGTTTTGTATGTTATTACAATCCATGGCACCTCCAGCGTTTTTGGTAACTTTTTCGAAATTTAGATATTTGTTTTTTTGAAATGGTGGTCTTTTATTAAAACCCATAATAGAGAAATCGGATTTTAAAAAATACTACCCAAACTACTTAGATTAAAATTTAGTATGTTTTTTAGTCCTTTTAATTTAAACAATCTGGTGCAACCACCATTGTTGTAAAAATACGGTTCAAAAGTTATTGCAAAGTTATGTGATTTTCCCCATAAAATATTATGGTTTCTCCTACCCCTTACCATGGAAAGGGTTGTTAGCTAGTTAATGGGAGAAAGTAAGTTTCAGATTGCTGATACCATTAATTTATCTAGTAAACCGAAATTATATTATTCCGTTCCCACCACACCTCCCATTGACACGCCAAACCACCGTGGGCAATCGTATTGACAGTTAGTTTGTGGTTAACCTCACCTGATGCGACATTTAACATCACAGTCACCCTAGTTGGCATTTGGTTTGCGTAAAACCTAACAGAGAAGGGGTTTAATAACTAATCTGTTTTATCTTGTTTGGCCAAACAATTCAGTCCATCTCTATATTTATAGATTTAGTAAGATATGTGTAAAAATAAAATTTATTAGTACGAGGTTTGGTTTAAGCTGAAGGAGGTTTTGTAAAAAAAAAACACAATTTACTTCATTTATGAGTGTTTTAGGTAGAATTACACAGACATTGTATTGAATGATTAGGTTTAATGATGATTGATCGTAGTATTACACACTTGTGTACTACAGTCTAGTATGTGGGATAATGTTAGGTAGAATTACACAGACATTGTATTGAATGATTAGGTGTAATGATGATCTATCGTAGAACAACACAATTGGTGTGGCCAGTATGTAGGATAACATTAGTTAGAATTACACAGACATTGTTTTAAATTATTAGGTATAGTGATGATTAAACGTAGAACTAGATAGACATCATGTTGAAGGGGATATTGTTAGATAAAGGGTTGCCAAACATTAGATGTACAAGCCCAGACTGTGAATAATAACATTGCCATAGCGAGTTTAGCCAATAGAACGACCTTTGTACATGTACATAGCAGGAGCCCATTGTGTTGGGGAACTAGCAATCATAAACATAGTCTAATAACTAAGCAATCCTAGTACAGCATGAGCAATTCTCTAAAATTAGTAACGTAAGAGTTAGACTTTGTTGTACAGCATTGTGAAACAATAATATCTTAATTAAATCAACTGTTGTAATACTGTTATAATTTTCAGTATGGTTTTTGTTCCATCCAATGCCGATTAAACTTTGCTTTGTTTAAGTAAAATTTTGTATAGTAGAACAAACGATTTTAAAACTCTATTCACATTAAAATACTAGCAACCTACACTATTACGCTACGGCTATTGATTATCCAAGTTATTCAAAGTTAAATGCAGTTCGGTGTCTCTTAAGTTTCCTTGAGGAGAATTAAATTAGATTGCTTGTTTATGTATTTACTTTACCTTTCAATCGGGAGACTATCCTGATTATATTAGATTACTTTTTTAATATATCGTAATGAAAGTTAGCTCTTTAATGGTGGAGTTGTGAGAATTTAAACATATGTTGTTTTTGGGTTAGAGTTTTTTTTAACGCCTAATATCTTAAAATTTTCACCTGACTGAAAATTAGCTTAGTAGTTATCAATACCTCTCCGGTTAGACCAATGGATATAGGGCTCGCTTTTAATTGTCAAGATCACAGCTTGTCATTGTGTGATCTGAACTATAATTAATATGATTTGGTAATTTTATTATGTTCTAGGACGATAGACACAAACCCAAACGCAAAATTGTCTTTACATTACTAGACCTAGGGGTTGCGGCACTATCACTTAGGTAAAATCCATTTAGTGATTTGGTAGTATTTGAACCCGGGACCTCAAGGACCAAAGTCCCGTACTCTAACCACAAGACCAGCTCGCTCACCCATATTTGGCTATAAATGATGTTACCTAGAAAAAAAATGCTGGATACCTACTAATAATATAGTATCAATGACGTTATTAAACAATGGCATGACCAGGTTTTGAACCCATCCCTGCCCTTACAAATAATGGCACAATATACAATAAATAACCCCGCCCCCGCCAAGCCACGGACTAAATGAATTAAAATTTGTCTGATTGGATTTTTACACAAATATTTCCATACACAAGTCATATTTTTATTCCCCATTACTTAAAATAACATTAGATTTAACTGGTACTTAGATTACCTGCTACGGGGAAGGTGAAACGTGTTTTTTACTAAATATTAATAGAAAGTAAAAAATAAATTACTAAATAAAAAATTCCATTCTTATTAATGGATTTTTTTAATTTGGCAATTTATTTGTTTCATTTATTTGTTGTTTGGCAAATTATATCTAAAAGCTAGAGGACAGTAATGTGCCTTTGAAGATGACTTATCCGAACAGCTGGAGGACTGATCCGAACAGCTGGATGATTAATCCAAACGACCATCTGATCCCAGGCGACTACATTAATTGGTAATGAAACTGCGATGACACTGGGTGGACACTGTCCTTCCACACCCCTCTTCTGACAACAAACTGTCATCATGATTGATGTGTCTGGAATATCGCTTTCAGAATGATTGCGAAAATTAATCTTCAATTTACTAAGCTCAGTGTTGAGCAAATTATTTTAACGTAGTTTGTTTATAATTCGTTTCAAATACATGAATTTACGGGGCTAATTACTTTGAATACTTTTGTATGACCTTCACATGCTAGTACGCTCGGTTCCTCACACAGGGCTTACACCTTACTTAATTATCAGTTAGCACAAAATAAATGCGCGTTCCAAAATAAAAATGAAAATTTCATTAATTTGAGCAAAATATAAACTAATATTCAACGCCACTCATCACAATCGCAACGATGTCTTCACTGCTTAAATTGTGCTCTTAAATTCCACCAGAGTTTTGAAACTTTGGATGAAATTCCTGATTTTTACGAACTCATGAGCTTTGACTGAAATACAACTGATTATCATCTTATTTAGATAGCTTGCCATGACAAGTCATGCACTATATTATTTTGAGCAGAGCAAGCAAAGTTGTTAATGCTCTTTCCCACACAAATTTTATTTTTTTCACCCACGAGGTGCCAATATAGAATCGTGCATGGTTTGGTATACCATTGCTTCCAGTTTATTATGCCTTAATCTTGTTGGATGTCTTCATCTGTATACATACGAATTTGCAACACATATTTTAAACGTTCATTGACTATGTATGTATTAGTAGCATAGGACTTGAAGACATACTTTTCGTCATCGTAAACATTTAATTTGTCGTTATATTTCTCATAATTATTTTATTAATTCGCTGATTCTTTTCAAAATTACAAACAGACAACTATATAGCACAGCTGGTTTGTTTTTTGCAACAGATCTTTCCGTAAGCATTTTAAATATGGAAATATCAGCTGAGCTAACGAAGTGGTTAGGGTGATAATTGCTTGCCTTACCACCGTTAAATGATCTCGTCAGCGACTCACTCTCACAGTTTAACGCTCAGTAATTTCACGTAAAATTAAGAATATCTTAAAATCTTTTCTAGAAATCAAACTACAGTACATATACTGTTTACAAATTACATCTATAAAACGAAAATGGCTTTAAGGCCGTTCGTGTTAAAATATGAATAAGACCTGCTGTGTTTGTTAAAAAAAACGAGAAAAAGAGAATTGGTTAAAAAAAAACAATAAACTTTAAAAATACTCTATTTGGTAAATAGGACATGGAAGTGTTGTATTACAGCATACGCAAAGGGATTGTACTGATCATTTAAACCATAAACAGTTCATACCAGTATAATTATTAACGATTATGCACAAATTTATTTATAAATCCTAGTAAATAATGTGTAAACTTGTTGTGGTCCTTTGTTACAAATAACTACATATTGTGCAACATTTAATAAATCTTACTTCACAAAAACATTTGCCTAGTTTTGAGTCCCTAGTCTACTGCACCTATCTTAGGCTCTCTCAAACCAATTGTGCATAACAAGTTACCATCATTTAATTTTTAAAATCTCAAGTTTTTTTATAATTTATCAAAGTGTAAATACATAACCATTCGAGAACTTCATAATCTAAACTAAACTATTTCTAAGTCACTTGGAAAACAATGAATTTAGATAATGAAAAATAGCACTTCTTGTCTCCCTGAAAACACAAACCGTGACAAAATATATTGGAGGAAACACCTACAAAACCTGCAAGAACAAAGGCTACTAAACAAGGTAACAAACACTATATTTTCTAGTTCTTGCCACTGGGAAAATAAATAAAATGAATACAATTTCTGATTAGAGCAAGAACAAGGGTAGAAAACATTGAATTTACTCTATCCCTTTCAGACCCAGCACACTCATTTGTGTAGGTAAAGTCCTGACAACCTAATTAACACGATTGTGTAGGTTAGATGTTTATTTTATTTTTTTTTTTTTTAGATTCTGGATCTTTCCGTTGCTCAGACCTGTACGCATCGATTGTGTAGGTTATGGAGATCAGCTGGGAATTTTTGTTTTGCAGTTTGCCTTCATGTCTTATGGTAAAACTGATCGTTTTGTTGCAATGTCACGGTAAGATATGAGAAAGAGGCAACTGTTAAGGTTAATGACTGTTTTATTTATATTTTTAAACGTATATAATGTTAATTATTGCTGAAACTGAAATGGTTAATATGGTATTATGAAGGTTTCGTCTTTAAAACAAACCTAATCAATAATTTTAGTATTTGAAATCTAGATTAAAAACCATGATTTATTCAAAATTTGTTCAGGACTTAAAGCGGTCGAGATGACTAGGATTCCCGGGTCTGAAAGGGTTAAATTAGATTTAAATTTATTGAAGAACCTACCTGGAACTCGACCTTGTACAGCACTGGGAACTTCCGTCTCTGGTCGCAATGTTTGACGAAGTTCTTGATCTCCACGGGCTTGCTGGGTATGGTCGACATGACTCCATTGTTTTCTGGAACAAAACTTCATCTAATAAGCCAATGAAGGTGGTGATTCAAAGTGTATAGTAGGCAGGAATAGAAGGTAGAAGTTCGGTAGAAGTAGAAGAAATGTATTGCAAACTTGGCTTTTAATAAGTCGTAATGGAACATTTGCGAAACCACACCTTAAATAGCATTACCCCACCGTCAGCAAAAGACCTTAGAAGACAGTAAATTCAATTTCAAAATAATAAAATAGTTTTCGTAAACTGTTTAAATGTTGATAAAAGCAAATTTATTTATTGTAGTGTGCCTATGTTATTTTGCTGGGTACAACAATGCATTACTGTTATCACGTCACAATACCTTTATACTATTGTTGTCGTTATATTAGTACTATAATTTATTTTCTGAGACGTATTAGATATTTATCCATCTTATTATATATTCAAAACTTTTGCAAGCCTTATGCCAGCTAGTCTGACCATACTACTGGACCGAATTACACGCGGGTTGTACCAAAAGAAAGGTTGTCGGTCCTATATGTGCAGGTTTTATTTATATTTTGGAAATATTTATTGGGTCAAAAATGGAAATTAAACTTTTCTTATGGAGATTTAACATGGGGCCAAATTTTTAAGCTTACGACAGCTCCCCTGACCATAATAATGTACCGATTTACACGCGGGTTGTACCAAAAGAAAGGTCATTAGTCCTATATGTACAGGTTTTATTTATATTTTGAAAATATTTATGTTAATTGGGTCAAAAATGGAAATTAAACTTTTCTTATGGAGATTTAACTTGGGGCCAAATTTTTAAGCTTACGACAGCCCCCCTGACCATAATACTTTACCGATTTACACGGGGGTTGTACCAAAAGAAAAGTTATCGGTCCTATATGTGCAGGTTTTATTTGTATTTTGAGAATATTTATGCTATGTATTATTTAAAGAGTTGGGTGAAAATAGAGAAGTTTGCCAATGCATACTTTTGGTCAAGTTTTCGACCACAGGGCGAGCTCTGGTACTACATACGAGTATCAATGTAATATTGTAAAAAATGGTGTAACCATTCAAAGGAAAAAAATTAAAAAGATTATAATAAAAATGTAATGACGATACTGTTTTCATTATTTGGAAATGTTATCCTAGGCAAAAACAGTGTGGATATTTTAAAGTCAATCAAATGTAAAACAGAGCTGATGTCCAAAACTCCAACTAATTCATTCATGTCCTCCAGATAAAAAAACCTTTAGCCCCATTAACCCCAAATTATACCCAAATTCACCATAGTATAACTAAAACTATATTTACCCACCTATTAATCAATAAGCTATTTATTTTTCCTCTAAGTGAATTTTTCCTGAGAATGACAACCGTATACCGCTTTCTGCAGAGCGTTTAACCAAGTTTGCGTTGAGATACGTTGTCTTTGAAGTCGCTTATTATCATTGCACCGGTTGATCGTGATCATAGACATAGACAGTGTCGACCCATCGAATGTCTCTTTGATCAATGATCAATAATTATTAGAGATGAATCAAACGATGAACCACAACTACCGATCGTGTTGGTGTTTGAGAAACAGTTCGATGGATCTTTAGATTAAATCATTATGTAGTGATTAATTCATAACCTTTTGTGCTCAAGCATAAATACAGTTTGTATTTATGACGACCGTACACGAAAAAAATCACCTAATAAGAATTTGTGTAAAATTCTAAAGCATTCTTAAAGCAAGATCGGATTTAATTATACGAATTTGTATAACATTGTGATGGATTGTATTGCAAACTATGCCAACAGGTTCTTTGTCGAAGACAATTACGGTATAAATCGAGTTCCCTTATATACAAAGAGTCTGGAAGTGTAAAAGTGGACGACTAAAGTGTTAAGTAAACAGTCCAAAGCAAAGATCTGGAATTACAAAAAATACGTTAGCAATTCTATAGAAACTTCGGATGTGAACTGAAGTAAAAGGCATAAAGTGGAGTATAATAAGTATTTGTATATAGCGTGGCTTAACTGAACTAATTTTTCGAGGTTAAAATAAGGGAAGAGATTGGTTTTTATCTTTTTGGGGTACATTAATTAAAAAAGTAATAAAACATTTATTTAATGAAATAATTTTTTTTAAAGATTATAACAACGTGAGAAAGTACATCTTTGTTGAACCTACAAGAAAAGTAAACGATAACGTTTAATCTTAGTTCTTTACTGCATCGTTTGAAAGGAGAAGTGTTGTTCCCTGTTTTACGAGTTTTTTGAACGACCTAAACGTATAAAAATATAATTACTATCTTGATTACTTTATGAATTTTCATTTTTTATTCATGGTTCGTTGTTGTTTCTGTGTTAGTAATGCACATGGTTTTAGGGGGTTTTTTATCTAACTTTTGTTGGCATGTAATGCAAACGCTTGTCTTTATTTTAAATTACCACTTTATAATTATTTTTTCGTAGGTACTTGCAATAAATAAAGGTTTCCCATATTCCAATAAAAAGATCTAATAATTAACTATAGTTTATCCTCTGGTTATGTAACAAAACGAAAAAAATATTTTAGATATTGCAGTCTAAAAATAAACTATTGTACGTATTAGATTCTGTAAAATTTGTATTTTATACGAAATGAAAGAAATCTTGATTCGATTTGACACCAAAGCACGGATCGTAAAATTAACCCTTAAATAATAGAAACAAAGTTTTGTTCTATACTAGCGCTCAGTGTCACCAAAATGAACTAGACTTGGTAAACAAGATTCCAATCTTACTATAGGAGAAGTCTACATGTGTTGGTTACGATAAAATATATCAATGTACCATTTGCACTCATAATATAAAATGTATGTCATTATTTGCTCGCTGATACAACAGTGATATAATTGGTTTGCACATTGACATGGTAGGTGCTGACGCAATTTACACGATCAGTTTAACAATTACTATTCAACGTTCAATTATCAATGTACAAATGGGCAATCGTGAATTTAACCTCTAGCGGACAGGTATGTTTTTTATAGTACTCAAAACAATGATTACGTGTTCCCGTTGCATTTTTGCAGTTGAACGAAATACAACGGGTTGATATTAAATATACAGGGTGACATAATTTACGTACTAATTCCTCAGGTATATCATCCAGTTTGCATAAAAATTTTGCTTTTTTTGACCCAAAGGACCACTACGTTAAAATTATGTCCCACCACTTTTGAACACCCTGCATGTCAACCTTTTTGAAAATATATAATAAACACTCTGTAAAATATAGGTTAGATACGTTACAAATATTATATATGAAATTATTTAATAAAAACAAAGTAAATAGGCATATGATTAATGATTCTGAATCTATGAATAGCTATACACACTTTAATACAAACTGTAACTCTTATAATTCATAAGCCATGTTTAAGAATGTACAGTGGTAGTATTGAACCCGACATATTGTGACTAAAATACACAAAATAAATATTTGTTGACATTTATACACAAAAATAGTTACTTACAGCAACAGTTGGATACCCACATGAAATTTAAAAATATTCAGTGCAAACGGAATAAACACTAAAAATCCAAACATATAAATGAAAAGGAATATTATTTAGCGCAAAAAGAAAAAATATACGAATCACATGTAAGATGTTATCACAAAAAGCTTAACAACAAACAAAAGTGGTTTACTAAACCCAAGCAGGTTATAGATCTAAATATTTATTTTTTAAATTACGATGTCAAATAGAAAAAGGACATCAGTTTCATCTGAACAGATTATTTAAAACAAAGAAGCAGTAATTATTCGTTGGAAATTTTGTCATTTCTCTTTTCGACGGAAGTTGGGTAAATTGATACTTTCAACTGCATCGGGTATTTATAATTTTGAACAAAAATGTTTGGTCTTGAATTACTATTTTACTCAGACGTTTAAATAGTAAGCAGACATAGGTCGGTGGCATATTATATAGCGAGTTCAAAAATTAGATTCAACAGAGTAAAGAAAATAATACTTTAATAGAATATTAGCACCCCATTCGTGTAACAAATGCAAGGTCCTAATGTTGCAATGTAGACCTCAATGTCCAAAGTCAATGACAGGATGAAGGATCTTTTGTATTATTGAATAAAAGCTTACTGAAATATTAAACATAAATACTTAACTAAAGTTTTGTTTTTTCCTTCATCCCGTATTTTATTACACATTTTCCTACTGCTAGAGAAATGTGGTTGAGAATTCCAATTAACTAAAAGATAAAATAGAGTAAAAGATACATATTCAAATAAAACTAAGTACTTGATTTAGTAACTAAAATAAACTATAGTGCACACAAAGATTAGTGTACAATGGATATGGATGGCAAAACTGCAAACTTCACCTTTCTTTGTACTAGTTCTTGCAAGAACATTCAGTGGTAACTAGATAGTTTTACATTATGGCAAAGACTGCTGCATCCATTAGTTAACTTATCCATTAGTTTGTAATTGACAAAAACAAAATGGCGGTTCAGTTAGACACAACATACGTCACAATACAAACACTATACAGTACAAGATATCACAAGAAAACCCCATTAGGTTAGAAGCTGAGACATCTTGTATCGTTATTGATATTGTTTTGTTTTCATATCCAAGTAGACTTCGTGACTTGGGAGCAATATTATTTGATATTATATACGCTAATTAAGTCATGTACCTTAATTTGAAATACTTATTTCACTTTTAATAGGTAAGATGTAGGATATGTTTTATGTACCTATAAGCTTGAGGACTTCATGTCAATAGAAATGTGAGTAAAAGAGAAAATAAAAAATCATAGCTAACTGTTGGGAAAAATCTTAGTTGAAATGTGAAAAAACATTAGTAAGTAAAAGAACTGTATAAAATTGGTCTGAGCTTACCAGAAATTCTTGTGTCCTAAATTACCATATTTCTTAAGTAATTCGATAAAGGGGAAAATTATCATATGTAAGAATGTTATCGAGCTAAAGGACGAAATAAGATTCCTTTAGATGTATTGTAACCCATTCCCAAAT